CGCGGCTGTGTCAGCCCAGCCGGAATCAAAAGCTAGCTGAGCTAGTGCATAGGTGATCATGGGAGTGAATGCCGGAGCCCTTGCAGGAAGCTCAGTGCGAGACCAAGCTCCATGTAATCGCCAACTCCCAATCAAATGTGGCTTCACGGCTGGGATGAAATGCCCCAGCCCACTCAACGCATCACTGGCCCAACTCTTGGGATCACCTTCTTCCTACAAACGCTCAATGAAAGTGGAAACCTCCAAATCAAGAGATGCGAATGTTCGAGGATATGATTTTCCATGGTCTTTCAAGAACTGCAAAAAGCGTGAAACATGTTCAAGATATCGCGATCCAGTTTTACGTGAAACAACCCGGGACCTCAATGCACCCAACAATCTTCTTTCAGCTTTGCGCTCGCTCTTTGACCGTTTGCTCAGCATTTGCTTCAACCTGGGCATCAGCACGAGCACGCTTCGAGACCCATCGTGATGGGCCATCCGCTGGATTCCATTCACTTTTCACGTAGCCAAAGAGCAAGCGCAGGTTTCCGGCAAGAAGAGCGGCAGTGATGCGTCTAAGAGGTCCCTGCAAAAGAATTGAGCTTGTTCTGCCCTTGGTCGCGATTCCAATGACAGCTTGATTGTCAACAAGAAGGATGCATTTATTGTTCACATGCTCCTCACTGCGCAAAAGGCGCTTGACAAGATCCAAAACTGCAACAGCTTCCAACTGAGAGATGTGTCCACCCTTTTTCCACTTGTGTGAGTACACAACCTTCCAGTGCCAAAGCGTAGGATCAATTGATTTTCAGCAATAATCTGCAGCTGCAAAAGGCACTCCATGATCCAGACGGACGTCAGTACCGCGATGGGAAACATTTTGCGAGATGAGAAAGGCGAGCAATTGTTCATCGGTCAGCTTCGAGTTTGGATCGGCCTTAACACGCACAGCAAGGTTCCCGCGACACACCTCCGCCCGAATCGTTGAGACCAAGAATCATGCTTGATTTGACGGACCTTGTTCTCCCCAGCCTTCCAACCTTCCAAAGCTCTGTGGTGAGGTCACGAACCTTAGCCTCTTCCGACGTCACAACCAACCCTGCCAACAATCGCGCTGTCAACAACACCGGCCACGTATTCCCCACCAGTTGTTGCCTTTGATCCTCGGTTAACTTCATTTTGAGATCCAAGTGGTCACTGTGATATCCCAGCATGCGAAGCTGCTCATCTGCGAGGAGGCGACGCACTCCAGCGCTGGTTCGAACAAGGTTGGAGTCTTGATAGTGGTACGGCGCCAGTCGCCACGCATCACCTTTCCAACGTCCAAGAGCTTTGTCAGGACATTGCTCGATACCTGCTGGAGTTGGCGGCGGCGCGGCCCTAGCCTGAGGACGGCAGAAGGAGAAAAAGGGTTCGTCAACCTTGTCCGACTTTTGGGCTCCTGACCGAAGAAACCAATCAAGCCCTGGGCGTTCAGTGTCAATGTGAACATGGCGGACGGTTTTCAAAATCCCTCCAGCCGTTTTTGCCTCCACAACGCTCAAATCAGCCCCTTCTACCAGGCATAACGCTTTGATCCACCAAAGTCGGGGACGTCTGCATCGCAGGACTTGGCTTGCTTCGGCAAAAACAGGCGGATATCCAATAATGGAACTTTGGATCTCCAAGTCAGTGTCATCCATCACCACGTTCTCAAAGATTTCAACGACATCCCAGTGTGGAAGCTTTAAACGACTTGAAGCCTGCTTCAGCCAACCCCGAATTTCAACCAGGTTGTCAAGCAACCGTGAAGTTTCAGCTCCGGCTCCTCCTCGAGCTGCATTGAGACGACTGTCATTCACACACGGCCAACCTCCTCCGAGAATTGCTTTGCGTGCCCGAGGGAACAACCTACGCCATTCCAGGACCTGCTCGAATGTGACCTTTCGGATATCCTCGACAGTCAAAACATAGGGGCAATGCCGGCGCGCAAGTTTCACACAAGTCTGGTCCATCTCTATAAAAATGACCCCCTGCGGCATGACCCCCAACAGCTCGCAAGCCTTCCGGAGACCTCCAATCCCACCAAAAGCTTCGATCAGCACCACTGCGTCACAGCCCCCACCAAACTCATCCGATGAGCACAGGATCCTGCACTTGGCGCGCCCTCGTGCAAACAAACCCGTGCTGCTACACGCACCACCACCATCAGGCGAGACATTTGTAGCGTAGACGGTAGGGCTGATTTTCATCCGCTGGTCCATCCAATGCATAGGTAAGCTGCTGACAATCATCAGTAGCTCGTCCTCAGCAATAATTGTGATGGCCGTCCGGCCCCCCATCATGTTGATCTCGCGATACAAACAATCGAAGAGACACCCAAGAGGACGACAGAATTGAACAGAGTGCATTGCTTTTCCAACCACTGACAGGAGTTCCTTGGAACCTCGAGGCTCGCCCAGCTCATTCTCGAGCAGATGGATTGCTGCAGCTGCCACGGCACGTCGTAATTTGCGGGATGACCCGACCCAACCAGACCTCGTCCACCCAACTGTTCAGCTCCTAGACTCGCCCAGTCAAGAACCCCCTCTGCTGACTTGTTCTCGTCACGCTCCACATTCCAGACTTGAAAGACTTCCCTCAACTTCATTTGTGAGTCTGAAGGCCGACCTTCATAGATCCCCTTGTCCGACGCAGCAATAACCTCGAAGGAATCGAAATTATCGACGTAGAATGAGAAGTCCTCACGAGGCGTGGATAAGGGTAGAAGTGGAACGGGCTCTCCCATTCGAACGACCCTCTCAGCAGGAACTCCGGCGAGGGACCCCATTCTCTCAAGCGAGCTTTGAACAAAATCAACAATGTTCGACCACCCTATGGGCGCAGACTTCACGCGAGGGCGTCCTGGCGCCCGGCGCCCATCCTTGAAACACGACCCGCGAGCCAATTTGTTGAGGACAAAGTACCCACGCCACTTGGCCGATGGCGCGAAGATGTGAAAGCAGTGCCGAACATCTTCTGCATAAGCTAGAATCACTTCATCCTCAAGGAAAGGAGAGTCATGCTCCCCCACAAAGGCGCGTACCCCAGGGACCCTGACGGTTGAAGTGGCATACGGGACTGGCACCTGTCCGAAGGAATCAAATTAATAATGAGCCTCAGTGTGCGATACCATGATCCTGAGTCATCCTCTTTCCACGAATTATGGACACCGAAGAGACCATTATAGACAGGATCCCCCTTGATGCGCAAAGTCTCATCCTCGACCTCTCGTTCAAACATCCCAGCCTCTACCAGGTGCTCGACGATGACGTCAAATTCCCAGTCAGACTCCACCAACGCTGGGGCCGTAAGGGGGGCCTCGCTTAATTCATGATCCGGGATCCGGAGCAACTCAGGGTCCTCAACGTAAGGTCGGAGCAGAGGATCCACGGTCGTCCCCAAATCAATCCTACCGGCCTCTCCCGGTCCAGGCACATGCGGAGCAATAGCCTTCCATGAGACCTTGTACGCCTTCTGCTCTTCGCGACCCGTATACATGTCCCCTAATTCCTGCCGCGCCATTTCCCATGAACCCAGGTCCATCTGCGCGCGGTCCTCGACGAACAACGCGGCATAATTCCGAAAGCGATCAACAGTCTGCTGTTGATTTGGCGTCCACTCCGCTGGGTGGGGGAGTACCTGACCAAGAACCTGGCTCGATCCACACCAGAAGAAGTTCACCAATGCAACCTGAAGAAAGCACCAAGACTCGACACCAAACTTCTCAGCCTCATAGGCGATCTCATGCCAGACATCATCATCCATCACATTTGACTCCCAAGCAGTCATCATCTTGTCCTGGAGATTTTTCATGTCCTGAGTATCACCTGGAAGCGCGAGGGGAAGAAGCTCGACCGGAGATGGCTTGAATTGCTTCCTAGCGCATGAAGGCAGAATCCTGAGGAAGTGTCCAAACTGCCCAGGCTTGGCCCTCAACCCAACCTTGAGCACCAAGCCAACAAAAGCCACCGAAGCCGACCTTCTTCCCGACAGCCAAAACCCGAGCCACCGTTTCCAGACTGTTTGATGCCAACAGTTACCTGGCTGGACATGGAACTTGTCAACAACTTCACGACCGGCATCAGTCTCTGACTCCAGGACATACAGGGGCCTCCCAGATAACGCTGAAGATACTCCCTGACGATCCAGAGTATCCCGGTATGACTCCCAAAAGACTGAGCACGTGGCGTGGACGTCCCCACGCCCGACATAAACACCACCATCATCACCACGCCACTCCGGGTCAAGGCGACAGAGGAGCACACCTTTGTACACATCCAGCACTTGAGGCTCCCACTGAGTGTGTTGAGCGCGAGCATCATCAACCTGACCCTTGCCGAACCGGCCAACGAACCCATCTGAAATCTCAGGGCCCTCATCCTCAACCGGTCCCTGACAGAAGCTTTCCAGCGACCTCACCATTTGGTCGGGGTCCTGGCCCAAACCGTCGGCAATATGGCACGCCAGCTCATGTTCCAACCTTTCCCAAGTCCTGCTGCAAGAGGTGCAGCTTCGAACGAACTCGAAAATTGAAATGATCCGCGGGTCTTCTGTGTACCGCTTCAAATGCTTCACATCCTCATCAGTGAAGGAAGGATGGTTTGCAGACCTGTCAAAGCAAGACAAGCGATGCGAGCCTTCACCACTATCCGCAGCGAGGGCCCTATACGCCTGTCCCCCCTCAACTGGCCCCCTCACCATCTGCGAAACTTCCCTTTCTCCCTTTTCCTTTTCCCTTCTGAAACCGTGCTCCCTTTCCGGGATTGTTCTCTGGGGGTTTGTCCTCGCCTCCTTCCTTGCCGGCCTCGCGATCGACTGCGGCCTCGGACTTGTCGAACATTGGAGTTCTCCAACGGTTTCCTGGCTGTCGAGGTCCCCGCTGCAAACTCCAATCCGATTTCAGCTCCTGTTGCGCTGCCTTCAGCTCCTCCCTGAAGTACGAGCATGAGTCGCTCACCTTCACAAGTTCGAGATGAGATGCCTGGCCCCAATTTCCTTGTTGGTAGGCAATCTCCAGCGCTTTCAATCTTTGGACCAATACGTCTAGAGCACGAAGCGGATCGTTGCTCGCGATGTGGTCTATGACCGTAGCAATGGTGGTCATTTCTTTCAAGTTCCTCGTCCCAATTGCTTGAGGGGGGTGCTCCTTCAGAAAGATTAGATCGAGGTATCCGCGCGCGACTGGTGGAAGATGGTGGAAGTAATGCCCTCTCCGAAGCCGTTGCCCCTCCCTGGGACCTCAGGAGTAGCTCTTGACATCTCTGCAAAGTGCGCGATCCCAGTCGACCCGGCTTGCGCTGATGCATCCGAGGAATGCGGTCTACTCCCTTGGGAAGGGCGGCTACGTGAAAACACGACTCTGAGGAGCAATCTGACCCGTGATTTCTTATGTTTTTTCTTCTTCTTGAATTCCTTGTCCACACTTCCGCTGCTGAGCTCCAAAGCCGACAAATGGGGTCCGGGAGCACTACGGGCTCCAAGCTCTTTCAAAAGTGCATCATGGTTCACACTCTTGTCATGGTCGCCGGACTTGCGTTTACGACTTTCACATCTCTCAGCCTCTGCCTTTGGTGCACGCGCCTCTGCGGGAGGATGATGCTCCCCTCCAAGCGCTGCCGCCAATCCTGCGATTCCCGGCATGCCCGTTTTAACCTCCCCTGGGTCTTGAGTTGTGGCCCCTAAAGGGTCACAAGAGCCCCCAAATTAGCAGCTCTTGTCAATCCAGAGGCTTCAACAACCGCAGGGTATGCATCAATCCGAACCTTCTGCTCTTTCGTGATCCACGGGATGTATGTCAGCTGGTCAGGCTCCAAAATTCGGAACACATCAACATGAACAGGATGGCGATAGACTGTACCTTCTCTACAGCGAAAAGCATAGCCCTTGCAGAAGTGAAGTGGCACAGTTCTGGTGACAGTGTATTCTCCGAAAGTCCTTTCCACCCAGAAGTCGTAATAGCCGTCCTGAACAGCAATCACATGTCCGTGAAAAATCATTCCCTTTCAGCTTCCTCCACAAGGAGTGCAAGCACACTCCCTTGCTGTCGGCCGTTATCATCATAGCCAGGGAACTCCACCCACACGTTCGGCTTGAGTCCCTCGAAATGTCCTGCCTGAGCAGATCGGCCAGCGCGACGCCAATTAGGGAGACCCGCCATGCAGACACTCAATCTCCAACTCTAGAGCGCAATCCGGAGATCTCAGTGGACTTACGTAGCACCCCGATCGAAATCAGAGAGCCCCAGCCACTCAAGTTCCTAGATAACAGGTTACTTCTCTCACAATTCAGCTTTGTGCTGCCCAAACGCTGCATGAAAAAAGAGCTGGTTCGCACTACATCCCAGAGGACTGCAAACTGGTGGTGTTCTTTCTGTGCGGTTCTTTTTTTTGACATAGCAAGGCGCGCAGATCACAGCAGATTTTGCTCGTTCATTCTTCCCAAATTCACCGGACATAATCTGGTGTGATCTGTGTGGCTGTCCTTTCTGTACACACATTTTTCCAATTCAATCCATTCTGCCGAATTTCACCGAACAAAATCTGGTGGCTTTTCTGAACAAGCAAAGCGCGCAGGTCACACCAGATTTTGCCCATCCATTCTTCCCGAAGTCAGTGGGCAAAATCTGGTGTGATTTGCGCGGCTGTCCTTTCTGAAAAAGCTAGGTGCGCAGATCACGCCAGATTTTGCCAACGCACGTTTCCCCAATTCACCGGACAAAATCTGGTGTGATCAGCGCAGCTGTCTTTCTGAAAAACCAAAGCGCGCTGATGCCACCAAATTCTGCCCATGCGTTATCCCCAACGTTAACGGACACAATCATGTGTGATCTGCGCGGCTGTCTTTTCTGAAAAACCAACGTGCGCAAATGACACCAGATGTTGCCCATGCGTTATTTCCAACGTCAACGGACACAATCTGGTGTGATCTGCGCGGCTATCTTTTTTGAAAAAGCTACGTGCGCAGATCACGCCAGCTTTTGCCCACGCACGTTTCCCCAATTCACCAGACAAAATCTGGCGTGATCTGCGTGGTTGTCTTGTCTAAAAAGGCAAAGCACGCAGATCACACCAGATTTTGCCCATCCGTTCGTCCCAAGTCAGTGGACAAAATCTGGTGTGATCTGCGCGGCTGTTTGTTATGAAAAAGCAAAGCACGCAGATCGCACCAGATTTTGCCCATCCATTCTTCCCAAAGTCAGTGGACAAAATGTGCTGTGATTAGGTGTGATCTGCACGGCTGTTTGTTCTGGCGCGCGAATCACCCCACATTTTGCCCATCCATTCTTCCCAAAATCATCACCGCTTACTGAGAAAATTAAACCCCCCCCTTGCAATCATTTCCACCCTAAACCCTCCCCCCTGCAATCAGTTCTGGCCTTGTCCGGCCAACCCCCCCCTGCAATCATTTCTCGGCACTCGCCCAAACCCCCTATT